CAAGCATCCTGCAGACCCACACACAGACGAAACATTGTACTGAAAAATGCAGTCCACGTCATCCTTCCGGGCCTTGTTAATTGGTCCCCTTGCTCAAGCTGGGAGTCAGAACTAAGATGTATTACTACGCCTGGGGTCATTTGGGGTCACCTGGGGTCAGAGATGTATTGCTTTATTTTATCTGAGGATTTTGGGGGGGGTCACGGAGGGTCAAAAGGGCAATACGTTACTTTCTGTGGGGTCATTTAGGGTCACCTGTGGTCTCGGTTAGAAGAGATATATTACTGCCTCTCAGAACCATGTAAGGTCATCTAGGGTTATTTGGGGTCAGGTGGGGTCACGAGGGTCAGTGTTATGGTCAAGAGTGGATCGGTTGAGAATGTGAAGAGAAGGATATATATATATACAAACCTGTCACGGAAATAGGTGTCTGTGTGTGTGTGTGTGTGTGTGTGTGTGTGTGTGTGTGTGTGTGTGTGTGTGTGTGTGTGTGTGTGTGTGTGTGTGTGTGTGTTGCTGCAGCGTAGGGTCCAAACCTGTAGCCGTGTTTTTTCGGGTAGGAGGGGAGGGAGGGAAGGAGGGAGGTAAGCAAGGGAAGGAAAAGGGAAGGAAGGAAGGAGAAATCTTGGTATCATTAGAATAGTTATAATAGTGATCAACAAATAATAATAATAATAATATGGTCAAATTTATGAGTCTAGGTCCCGATTCTAAAACATCGGTTAATTTGGGGCCCATTTGGACAGGGGCCTGGTAGTACTGGGGTCTAGTAGCACCTTGTCACAACCGACGGGGAACAGTTTGTAGTAATAGTAAGTAAGATGGCACTGTCAGGCACTTTCGTCATTCTGGCACTCTTGTCCGTCACACAGCCAATGAGGTGTAGCCAGTGACCCGCCTAGGAGAGAGAGAGGGGGGGGGGGCAGAGAGAGAGAGAGAGAGAGAGAGTTATGTTTACGATGAATCTGTAGAAACCACCGCCTGGCACCCCTCTCTCTCTCTCTCTCTCTCTCTCTCTCTCTCAGGCCGGTATATTGTCCCCAGCCTGGCTTGGTGGTGGGCAGCGTCATCATGGAAAAGGTTTCTCGATTCTCATTCGTGTCGGATATTGGCTGGTAGGACCCGACCACACTAGACGGGCCCGACCACACTAGACGGGCCCGACCACACTAGACGGGCCCGACCACACTAGACGGGCCCGACCACACTAGACGGGCCCGACCATACTAGACGGGCCCGACCATACTAGACGGGCCCGACCACACTAGACGGGCCCGACCACGCTAGACGGGCCCCACCACACTGGGCGGGCCCGACCACACTAGACGGGCCCGACCACACTAGACGGGCCCGACCATACTAGACGGGCCCGACCACGCTAGACGGGCCCGACCACACTAGACGGGCCCGACCATACTAGACGGGCCCGACACACACACACACACACACACGCGCGCGCGCGCGTTCTTATTGAAGTCATATCAATACATATCGCTGTTGGAAGAGTTTCTGTTGTGTTATGAGATATTAGTGTTGTGAGTTGTGAGGAAGTTTGGCAACATTGTCCTGACTGATGAGTTGTGAGGAAGTTTGGCAACATTGTTAGGTAGCACTCAGGGTGAGTGTGTGTTGTGACAGGGTAGCACAGGGTGAGTGTGTGTACAGGGTGAGTGAGTGTACAGGTTGAGTGTGTGTACAGGGTGAGTGTGTGTACAGGGTGAGTGTGTGTACAGGGTGAGCGTGTGTACAGGGTGAGTGTGTGTACAGGGTGAGTGTGTGTACGGGGTGAGTGTGTGTACAGGGTGAGCGTGTGTACAGGGTGAGTGTGTGTACAGGGTGAGCGTGTGTACAGGGTGAGTGAGTGTACAGTGCCACTGATAGAGGTACACGTGTGTTTACAGTACATATTATTGATACAGTTCCATGTTTATTCATACATATGTATATTTTGTATTCCGGTATACACTCACATGTGTATTAAGGTTATCCAACTGTTTCACAAATTACGAAATTTCTTGTAGGTGTTTGTACTCTAACAGGTGTGTGTGTGTGTGAGGGGAATACTGGCTACTTAATGTACTGTGTATACTCTTCCAAGAATATATATATATACAGTAATAAATTCATTCATTCATTTAGTTATGCATAGCTAGACACTGGCTCATCAGAACACACACATTCTTACACAAGCACGCATGAATTTAAGGTATTACTCACACACACGCACTCACACACACACATTTCACAACCTCCCATGTCTCGTATGTATGAAGTTACAATAAAACAAATGTAGTGGGGAAAAATATTATGCATTCAAAGGTTAAATAATTTATTTATGTATGCATATCTGGAGGCAGCAGCACCCGTGTAGAGATTATTGAAGGTGACCTGCCCGTAGCCTGTGTTTCCTGCTGCCCTGTGCTAAGGTGGCAATAACCACAGCAGCCTCTCTCTCTCTCTCTCTCTCTCTCTCTCTCTCTCTCTCTCTCTCTGTCTCTCTCTCTCTTAGCCCTTTCCTAGCCCCCATCCCAAAGCCACAATCCCATTACTAACCTGGGACTCCCTCTCATCCCTCTTTTCCCTCTCTTCCCTCACCTCCCTCTCATCCCTCTTTTCCCTCTCTTCCATCACCTCCCTCACCCTCTCCTCCCTCTCCTCCCTCACCTCCCTCACCCCTCTCCTTCCCTCACCTCCCTCTCCTCCCTCTCCTCCCCTCACCTCTTCCCCTCACCTCCCTCTCTTCCCTCCCCTCCCTCCCTCCCTCTCTTCCCTCCACCTCCCTCTCCTTCCTCTTTTCCCTCTCTTCCCTCACCTCCCTCTCTTCCCCTCACCTCCCCCTCACCTCCCCCCTCCCTACCCTCCCTCTCATCCCTCTTCCCTCTCTTCCTCCACCTCCCCTCTGCCCTCTCCTCCCCTCTCCTCCCTCCACCTCCCCTCCACACCTCTCTTCCCTCCCTCCCTCTCCTCCTCTCCTCCCTCCCACCCTCTCTTCCCTCACCTCCCTCTCTTCCCTCTCCTCTCTCTCCTCCCCTCTCTTCCCTCCCCCTCCCTCACCTCCCTCTCCTCCCCCTCTCCTCTCTCTCCTCCCTCTCCCCTTCCTCTTCCCTCCCTCCCTCTCCTCCCTCTCCTCCCTCACCCCTCTCCCTCCCTCTCCTCCCCTCTCTTCCCCTCCCTCCCTCTCCCTCCCTCTCCTCCCTCACCCCTCTCTCTCTCCTCCCTCTCTTCCCTCTCTTCCCTCCCTCCCTCCCTCCCCTCCCTCCCTCTCCTCCCCTCTCCTCTCTCTTCTCCCTCTCCTCCCTCTCCCTCTCTCCCCTCTCTTCCCTCACCTCCCCTCTCTTCCTCACCTCCCTCTCTCTCCTCCCTCTCCCCTCTCTTCCCCTCCCCCTCCCTCCTCCCTCTCCTCTCTCCTCCCTCTCTCCCTCTCCTCCCCTCCCCTCCCCTCCTCCCTCTCTCTCTCCTCCCCTCTCTTCCCTCACCTCCCTCTCCTCCCCTCTCTTCCCTCCTCCCCCTCTCCTCCAGCTCTGCTCTCTGTCTCTTCTCTGTTCTAGTCCACCTTTAGCTCAGTCAAGCCTCATCCTACCCTCATCCTACCCCAATCCTAGCTCTATCCTAGCCCCATCTTAGCCTTATCCTTGTCCTAGCTCTAGCCCCATCCTAGCTCTAGTCTAGCCTCACCTCACCTCACCTCTCACTATCTACCCTCACCTCTCACTGTCTACCCTCACCTCTCACTGTCTAGTCTCACCTCTCACTGTCTAGTCTCACCTCTCACTGTCTAGTCTCACCTCTCACTGTCTAGTCTCACCTCTCACTGTCTACTGTCTAAAATCCTCTTCATCCTAGTAGGCACAGGAGAGAGAGAGAGAGAGAGAGAGAGAGAGAGAGAGAGAGAGAGAGAGAGAGAGAGAGTGAGAGAGAGAGAGAGAGAGAGAGTCTAAATTGATCTTGAATATGAAAATGTTTGTTTGCTCTATACAGCCAGAATTATATTGCTAACTTGTAGTCATTTTTCCTCGGTGTGGCTTAGTGTGGATGTGGTTTTGTGGAAGTGTGTGTGGCTGCTTGGTGGATATGTGTAACAATGTTGTGTTGTGGCGCGTTGGCCGTGTGCAAGTTGTGTTATAGCGGCTGTGTTTATATTGTGTTGGGCTGTGTTACGCTTTGTTGTGGTTGTGTGTGTTGCTGTGTTGTGTGTGGTTGTGTTGTGGCTGTGTTGTGGTTGTGTTGTGGTGGCTCTGTGTGGCTGTGGGCGGGCAGGGTTCACACCGTAGCGGTTTACACAACACTTGGGCCTCAGGTTAACTAAATCTTTTGTGGCTGTTCTCTGAGCGTGACGGTGTCAGGTTAAGTTATTACAGTATGTTCCTGCTGTTGTGCGCTGAGTCACTGTTGTGGTGCACTCTGAGTCACTGTTGTGGTGCACTCTGAGTCACTGTCACGACCCTGTGTACTGAGTCACTGTCACGACCTTGTGCACTCTTCATACACCTGTCATGTACACCTTGTGTGGTCGAGACGGTCATCTTGTTCGGTCACTGTATCAGAGACGTCAAACATCTGTCTAACCTGTGTTATGAACAGGTGTTTAATTATGGTGTTAACGGGTGTTTAATTGTGGTGTTAACAGGTGTTTCATTATTAGGCGTTAACAGGTGTTTAATTATGGTGTTAACAGGTGTTTAATCAGCACATGTTTATCTTCTACTCTGAAGGGATTAAATACAAATATTAAATGAGTATATCTGGTGTTTACAGGTGTTTTTCTTGGGTTATAACAGGTGTTTGTGTAGTGTATAGGTAGTGTTATCAAGTGTGTGTTTTTTTTAACATGTATTTGACTTCAGTATTATGAGGTGGTTTTCATTGGTATGGACAGGTATTTTACTATATTAACAGATGTTCACTATTAACAGATGTTGACTATGACATTAACAGATGTTGACTATGATATTAACAGATGTTGACTATGATATTAACAGGTGTTTATCTTCCCTACACAGGAGGGATCGAATGGTGTGGGGGCGGAGTTGGCAGCATCGCCGCGGAGGCAGGTGGCGGGGCCGTCCCGAGCCAGGGATCCCCCCAGCATGGTCGTCCAGGGGGACTTTCGCAAGGTGGGTGTCCTGCACTCTCTTGTTCCACCCTCCTACACCTCTTCTACACCTCTCCTACACACGTCTCGGACACTTCAACACACCCCTGCACACCTTAGCATCTCTTTCACACCCTTCAATGGACAAATACACACCCTCACACCCCTGCACACTTTGTACACGCTTACACACTCCTACACTGTCATCATTCTGCATATCCCTACACCCTCTACTACACTTCTTTACACTCCTGTTCTATTGCACACAGTCTTACACCCGTCTGTAGTTTTTTGTACCATTTTGTAGACTTTATACATCTATCAACACACACTTACACCCTTCTACACGTTCTAACACCCCTTTGCACATTCTAACACCTTTCTACACATTCTAACACATATTTACATATTCTAACACCCCTTTACACTTTCTAACACCTTTTTACACTTTCTAACACCCTTCTACACATTCTAACACCCCTTTAGACACTCCTATAGTTTCTTATGCTAGGAGTCTGTTACCTCCCCACACTACAGTTGTTCCTCTCAGCTCAATGACCCAGAAACTAAGTGTGTCTCAGTGTCTGTCCGTCTGTTTCTTGATGTTAGAGCATAACACACAAAACATTCCAGAGTATTTTAATGAGAGTGTGTTTGTAAATTAAGCTGTAGGTAAAGGTATGTTATTTGCTAGATAAGATGAATATATTAATGTTATTTATTTGTGTTAGGTGAGGATGTAAATTATTAATGTTTGTTTATATTCTTGAGGTATAATGAATGACTGTTAGTATTGGTCCTTACCTGTGACACCTGTTGAGTATGGACAGTCTTACACATCACCATGACAACACGTTTATAAACTTTACAAGAAGTGTTATGGTGTTACAGCTGTTATTTTATGTTATCCTGCCGCTGTATTTTGTATTATTTAGTTTATAGAATTTTAATGGTGAAGGGATATTAGTATAGACTGTATTGTTGTTTTTTATTTATATTTTTACACTACAAGTTTGATAAAAAATAAAATTTACTTAGACTAAGATTAACGATTAAAAGGAATTCCGTCCACACACACACACACACACACACACACACACACGGATGGCATATACTTGGCCTTGGACCATCCAGTGTACAGCACAAAGCTCTGGAGAGGAGATAGGATCTGGAAGTGCTGACTGAGGTAGCTGGAGCGTCCCCCCCCCTTCCGCCTACCACCCACCTCTGGCCTCTCTCCACCATCACCAGGAGTGTTGTTAGGCTAGTAGAGGTTGTTAGGAGATAACGGTTGTTAGGCTAGGACTCCCATATGGGTATTTTTGTATAAACGAAACTTATGAACACCTGGGGCCTATTACAACAAGGGTCTAGAATTCAAATTAGATCAGGGACCAATTAGAACAACGACCAATTAGATCAGGGGCCAATTAGAACAAGAACCAATTAGAACAAGGATCAATTAGATCAGGGGCCAATTAGAACAAGAACCAATTAAAACAAGGGCCAATTAGAACAAGAGCCAATTAGAACAAGGACCAATTAGATCAGGGGCCAATTATAACAAGGACCAATTAGATCAGGGGCCAATTAGAACAAGGACCAATTAGATCAGGGGCCAATTAGAACAAGGACCAATTAGATCAGGGGCCAATTAGAACAAGAACCTATTACCTTTGGGGCCTATTTGGACCTAGGCCCATCAGGACTGTGCTGTAAGAGGACTAAAGTCAGCAGTAATGGGTTCTTTCGGCACTGGGCCTATTACTACCGAGGTCTATTAGGACTTGAATCCATTGGTACTGGGGCCCGTGAGGACTGGGTTTATAATGGACCTGGCGACGATCAGAACTAGGGGCCTATTAACTCAATGGCCTTTTATTGTATATCTGAGCCCTATTAGATCCAAGGCCTATTTCGCTATCTTGCACAAGGAGAGAGAGAGAGAGAGAGAGAGAGAGAGAGAGAGAGAGAGACCTGAAGAACAGCAGATATTTAAAGTGCTGCATAATGGCCCAAAATCAATACAGCTGCCCCGAACAGCATATGGCTGCAATAACAAGATGTCACGGTACAGCAACAATGCCTGCAATAACGTCAGTAATAGCCATCACAGCATCAATAACACCCATCACAGCATCAATAACAGCCATCACAGCATCAATAACACCCATCACAGCATCAATAACATCCATCACAGCATCAATAACACCCATCACAGCATCAATAACAGCCATCACAGCATCAATAATACTCATCACGGCTGTAAAGGGAACAGCAACGGTGTTATGGAGACACTCACTTACTCACTTAATCTCTCACTCACTCACTCACTCACTCACTCACGGCATCGGCAGGGCGGGCATTAGGAACTGACTTTATCTCAAGCTAGTGAGGCGGGCCCCATGGTTAACGGCGGCACAGGAGGAAGGGATATCGCCTGGCGTAAACTTTGACTTATGCCTGAGCGGGTCGACATCGTCTGATAGATTAGACTCAAGTTGTGGTACACGAAAACTTGATGCTCAACTTGTAGATTCTGGGAGAGTGTGTGTGAGGGAGGGGGGGCTGGTTACTGTGAATTCTGATACCGAGTGTGTTGAGGGAGGGAGGTGAGTGTGTTGAGGGAGGGAGGTGAGTGTGTTGAGGGAGTGAGGTCAGTGTGTTGAGGGAGGGAGGTGAGTGTGTTGAGGGAGGTGAGTGTGTTGAGGAGTGAGGGAGGTGTGGGAGGGGGTGAGTGTGTTGAGGGAGGAGGTGAGTGTGTTGAGGGGAGGTGGAGTGCGTTGGGGAGGGACGGAGTGTGTGTGTGTGTGTGTGTGTGTTTAGAGAACCAGCACCCACTAAACACTCACCAACACCCTCAACACCACAACACCCTCCAACACCCACCAACACCCTCCAACACCCTCCAACACCCTCAACACCTCCAACACCACCAACACCCCAACACCCTCCAACACCCCTCCAACACCCTCCAACACCCTCCAACACCCTCCAACACCCTCCAACACCCTCCAACACCCTCAACACCTCCAACACCCACCAACACCCACCAACACCTCCAACACCCTCCAACACCTCCAACACCAACACCCTCCAACACCACAACACCCTCAACACCCCTCAACACCCCCAACACCCTCCAACACCCACCAACACCCACAACACCCTCAAACACCCTCCAACACCCTCCAACACCTCCACCCTCCAACACCCTCCAACACCTCCAACACCCTCCAACACCCTCCAACACCACCAACACCACCAACACCCTCCAACACCCTCCAACACCCTCCAACACCCACCAACACCCTCCAACACCCTCCAACACCCTACCCACCAACACCCTCCAACACCCTCAACACCTCAACACCCTCCAACACCCTCAACACCCTCCAACACCCTCAACACCCCACCCCAACACCCTCCAACACCCACCAACACCCTCCAACACCCTCCAACACCCTCCAACACCCTCCAACACCCTCCAACACCCTCCAACACCCTCAACACCACCAACACCCTCAACACCTCCACACCCTCCAACACCACCAACACCCTCAACACCCTCCAACCCACCAACCCCTTTGCCCAGAACCATTTTCTTCGTCCACTTCTGCATCGCCCTGAGTGTCCCTAAGTGCTGTTGGCTCTTGTGTATTAATTGTGGCCCTGTGTGTGTGAGTGGCCCTGATGGTGTGTCCCTGTGTGTGTGTGTGTGTACGTGTTTGGCCCTGTGTGTATGTGAATGCCCCTCACACGCCCGTAGATAAATGCTACATCCCACTAACACGTCCGTAGCATACTAGGGAGCCACACAACTGTCCGTGGTTTATCCCGTACATGAACGTGATAACTCATGATTGATATTCTTAAAATCTGAAGAATTTCGGGAACATAATGAGTGTTCGACTTTGGGTTGTAGTCAATTAATCCACGACAGACATACAGACAAAGATTAAGTTTTTGTATCAATGGTAAATCTTAAACTAAATTCCATCAATTTAAGTAAAAACATCTTAAAGGTTTGGGAATGGCTGGGTGAGAGTTGATGTGTGACTGTGTGGAAGTTATACGTCTGTCGGTGAAATGTGTCGGTGAGGGTAGGAAGCAATCTCAATATTACCTCACAGGGAGACGACGCGAGGTGAGGTTAAGGTAGGAAAGTCCCTCCTCCTCCCTCCCTCCCCCCTTCCTACTCCTTTCCCCCTCCCTCCCTCCCTCCCTCCTTCCTCCCCTTCCTACTCCTTTCCCCCTCCCTCCTCCTCCCTCCCCCTTTCTCCTTTCCCCCTCCCTCCCTCCTTCTCCCCCCTTCCCTCCTTCCCCTCCCCAACTTTCCCTCCTCCACCCCTCCCCCACAGTCCTGCCACAACAAAGTCCAGACTGCTGTAACTCTTAACATTAATAACAAATGACTGATTATCGAACTCCTGTGATACCTAACCTGACCTAACTAACCTAACCTAACCTAAATTAAATGACAAGTTTTGGTGGGGGTTAAAATCGCATTCTTCTTTGTACGAGATATCATGTACATAACTCCTGTACACACACACACACACACACACACACACACACACACACACACACACACACACACACACACACACACACACACACACACACACACACCAGAAGTACAAATTAGTGTATGTATCTTTTCCTGGAATGACGAAAACAAATAGCATTACTTCTCATGGACTTAAAATAGCCTAAGGTTGTTTTAATAGTTTGAATAGAGACAATACGAGAATCATTAGACACCGTGTTTAAAAGTTCTCTTAAACTAGGACACCTGATATGACCCAAAAAAGATCTTAATTCCCTTTCAATTTGGTCATCCACGTTCATCAAGATAATCAGAGGTCAATCAGAGGTCATGTGGTAGGAGATGGGGGATTCATCAGA